GTAGTCTATGCAGACTTTGAAAGTTTTATAAAACCAATCAACACTTGCTCGTCTAATCCAAATGAATCTTATACAAAGCAGTACCAAAAGCATACACCTAGTTCATTTTGTTACTATATTAAATGCTTTGATGAAAAAATATATCAAAGTAAACTAGTTACATTCACTGCAAGTAATGAAGATGAAGATGTAGCACAAAAATTTGTTAATATGCTAGAAGAAGATGCAAAAAAGATTTACAACGATTATTTAAAATTTCCAAAAGATATAATATTTACTTGTAAAGACAAAGAAGAATTTAACAATGCAAAAATATGTCACATTTGTGAAAAAGATCTTAATGAAGATAAAGTAAAAGATCATTGTCATATTACTGGAAAATATAGAGGTGCTGCACATAATGAGTGTAATTTACAATTTAAAAATCCAAAATTCATTCCAGTACTATTTCACAATTTATCTGGTTATGACTCTCACTTGTTCATAAAGAAATTGTCAGAAGGAGGAAAAATAAATTGTATACCCAACAATGAAGAAAAATATATCAGCTTTTCTAAAGAACTTAAAGTAAATAAATTTATGAATAGAGAAGGTAAAAAAGTTGAAGTTAAACTGTATCTACGTTTTCTAGATAGTTTTAAATTTATGGCTGCTAGTTTAGATAGTTTAACTAAAAATTTGTCAAAAGATCAATGTAAAAATATTAGTAGATACTATTCTGGAAATGAACTCAATTTATTGTTAAGAAAAGGTGTTTATCCTTATGAATGGGTTGACTCTATTGATAAATTAAATGAAACACAATTACCACCAAAAGAATCATTTTATTCAAGATTAAATGATGAAGGAATAAGTGATGAAGATTATTTACATGCTCAAAATGTATGGAAAGAGTTTAATTGTGAAACATTCAGAGATTACCATAGTTTATATAACGAATCTGATATATTATTACTAGCTGATGTCTTTGAAAATTTTAGAGATGTATGTATAAAAAATTATAAATTAGATCCTGCTTGGTACTATACATCACCAGGATTAGCTTGGGATGCTGCGTTGAAAATAACAGAAGTAAAATTAGAATTATTAAGTGATTATGATATGATCTTAATGATAAAGGAAGGAATAAGAGGTGGAATTAGTATGGTTTCTAACAGGTTAGGAACTGCTAACAATAAATATATGGAAAATTATGATGAAAGTAAAGAATCTACTTACATACAGTATCTGGATGCAAATAATTTATATGGGTGGGCTATGAGTAAACCCCTTCCAACACATGGATTTAAATGGATGAATGAAGAAGAATTAAAAAATTGGAAATCTTCTTGCATGTTAGAAGTAGATTTAGAATATCCTGAACATTTACATGATGTTCATAATGATTATCCTCTAGCTCCTGAAAGATTAAAAATAGACAAAGTTGATAAATTAATACCTAATTTAAATCATAAGAAAAATTATATCATACACTATGAAAATCTTAAACTTTATGAAAGGTTAGGATTAAAGATTACTAAAATTCATAGAGGAATAAAGTTTGAAGAAAGTGCATGGTTGAGTAAATACATTAAACTCAATACAGATCTAAGGACTAAAGCAACAAATGATTTTGAAAAAGACTTTTTCAAACTTATGAATAACTCAGTATTTGGAAAGACAATGGAGAACATTGAAAACAGAGTTGATGTGAGATTAGTTACAAAAAGAGAAGAAGCTATTAAATTAGCATCAAAACCAAATTATGAAAGTAGAACAATATTTGATGAAAATTTAGTTGCAATACATATGAAAAGAACAAAACTAGTTTATAACAAACCCATTTACTTGGGTATGTGTATTTTAGATTTGAGCAAGACTTTAATGTATGAATTTCATTATGATTACATAAAAAATAAATATGGTGATAAAGCTAAACTATTATATACAGATACAGATTCATTAATCTATGAAATAAAAACAAAAGACTTTTATGCAGATATTGCAAATGATGTTGAAAGTAAATTTGATACAAGTGAATTTAATAAAGATCATCCAGCTGTTCAAAATGGATTTAAAGTAGGTGTAAATAAGAAAGTAATAGGAATGTTTAAAGATGAGTCAGCAGGAAAACAAATTACAGAATTTATAGGACTCAGATCAAAATTGTACTCTTACAAAATAGATGAAGAAGATAAAAAGAGATGTAAAGGAGTAAAAAGAAATGTAGTAAAAAATTATATTACACATGAAGATTATAAAGACTGCCTTATAAATAAGAAAGATCAAATGAGAAAAATGAATGTCATAAGATCTCATTGTCATGATGTTTATACTGAAGAAATAAATAAAATAGCATTGAGTGCAGAAGATGATAAAAGAGTAATTCAAGAAGATGGTATTCACACATTAGCATATGGCATTATAAACTTAAATAAGCAGGCAAGCAACACACAGGTAAGTTATTTTTTATATCTAAAGAGATCTAAAAAAATCTAATAAAGTAATAAAAATGGACAAACATATCAATGTTGAAGGAATTATATTGCCAAATGTATCCTTAACAAACTTTCAATTAACAAAAGCAGCAAAAAAATTAAAAATTAAAAATTTTAGAGGTGTATTTGTAAGAGATGAATTACCTAAAAATACACAAAACAAAGAATGTGGAATATTAAATACTGGAGATTCAAGTACGAATGAATTTCATTGGATTTGTTGGTATAAAGATGGAGAAGAAAAATTAAGTTTTGACTCTTATGCACTACCACCTCCAGTTGAACTTGTTCAATATTTACACAGTCCTGTTTATTATAATAGTAAAAGAATTCAGTTTGGAGACACTTCTTTTTGCGGACACTTGTGCTTTTATGTATTAAAAAAGCTTGATGAAGGTGTTGATTTTCAAAGTATTGAAAACTCATTATATTGAATTAGCGAAGCAATAATCACAGAGTGATTTAAAAAAATATGTATAGTATATAAAAAATGAGTATGAATATAGCCGGTAGTAATTCATTATATGGTTACACAACAGATGGATTAAATATCAACATTAATGTTGGCAATACAGCCACTACTGATGTTGATTTAAATTCACATAAATTAATCAATGTAGCTGATCCTACAGATGCACAAGATGCAGCTACAAAGAATTATGTAGATAATAATCAGATTTCTAGTAGTGCATGTCTAAAATTAGATGGAACTAATAGTATGAGTGCTAATATAAATTTGAATTCACATAAATTGATCAACGTAGCTAATCCTACTAATGCACAAGATGCAGCTACAAAGAATTATGTAGATAATAATCAGATTTCTAGTAGTGCATGTCTAAAATTAGATGGAACTAATAGTATGAGTGCTAATATAAATTTGAATTCACATAAATTGATTAATGTAGCTGATCCTACTAATGCACAAGATACAGCTACAAAGAATTATGTAGATCGCTTAATTCCTTATCAACATAAATATAAAGTTTTGATTATAGCTGGTCAATCAAATACATATGCTGGTAGAGAATGGGGTTTATCTCAATCAATAACTAATGTAAATTATATGAACAGACGAATAGTCCAATTTGCGATGGATAATGGACAAAATGATGTGTTACTTCCTTGTTCATTGAGACTAGATGTAAATGAAACAGATAATAATTGTTGGGCAGGATATGGTTCAATACTTGCTGGGCTTATAATGCAAGATGCTGAAGGTGCGAATACATTAAATATGATAAATCCTGATGAATGTTTAATGATACTTCCATGCATGCTAACTGCTAAAAGTTTCAGTAATGATTATTTTATGCCGTATGGAACTGGTTTTAAAAATTTAACTCGTAAAATCAATTACATTTCATCACATTATAACGCAGAGTTTTGCTGTATGACTTGGAGGCAAGGAGAAGATGATTCTAAAACCGGTTGGTGTGATAACTATGCATATATTCTAATGAATTTTATACAAACCATTAGAGATTATATTGCATACTCATCAAGCCAATTTGATACATTGCCAATCTCACAAATAAAAGCAAATAAAATGCTATTCATTACATTTCAAATGCTATCTTCATGGGTTCAAGCAAACTCAACTACAGCAACTCAAGTTCAAGATGCATTAAAAAATATTATAAATTTTTCTCCATATACAGCTAGTATATCTCTAGATGGTATGCCTCCCAGTCTTAGGAGTGCAAATTTCGATGGAGTACATTATGATTCAAGACAACAAATATTTTTAGCAAACAAATTTTTTGAAGCAATACCAATTGCAATGAATAATATATATGGTGGTGGCTATGGAACACCATATAATTCTGGAGAAGTATTATTAGTTAGACAAGTTGCTGGATATTTATTTCTTAACAATTATTATAGCGCCTATAGAGTATTTAATTCTACTCCATCTACTTCTCAATTATATAGCACATTATTTACTAATTGGCAGTATAAAAACAAAGATGGCTATTATAAATATAGACTTAAATATAAAATTAATGGTGTATGGAATAGTATTATATTTAAACAAGCATTCCTTCCAATGATGTCTATGGCTTACCAAAATGTTGCACAACTCATATCAACAGATACACCATTTGGATGTACAGAATTAGGACAAGGATTTTGCGGTTTAAATTTGACAACTACAAAAAGCTTGATGAATTCTGGAGCAGTACTTACACTAGATACAAGTGGTGGTTATTGGGCACCTGTATGTCAAAATATGAACTATGTATATAATGGGCAACCTGCTATGCCTATATTTGATAATTATATACAAAATAGTACTCTTCCATTTGTAGCAACAGAACTAGAATTATACGCTATAAGAGACCCTATATAATATTGTTAAGAAATAAATCAAGCGCATACACATTAAAACAAGAAAAATGAGTTAAATAATTTTCTTGTGTATATAAAAAAGAATGGAATTAGAAAATAATATTGAGAATAATAAATTTTTAATAAAACCTTCAACTCAAATATATTATATTACAACAATATTAAAAAAATATGGGTATGAACAAGGTAATAAAGTTGATTTTGCTGCTAAAAAAGGAAATTTAAATATGGTAAAATATTTACATGAATTAGGGTATAAAGGAACAGAAGATGCACTTGATTTTGCTGCTAAAAGTGGAAATTTAGATGTGGTAAAATATTTACATGAATTAGGGTATAAAGGTACAGAATATGCAATTGATAATGCTGCTAAAAATGGACATCTTGAAGTAATTAAATATTTACATGAATTAGGGTATAAAGGTACAGAAAATGCAATTGATAATGCTGCTTTAAATGGTCATCTTGAAGTAATTAAATATTTACATGAATTAGGGTATAAAGGTACAGAAAATGCAATTGATAATGCTGCTTTAAATGGTCATCTTGAAGTAATTAAATATTTACATTCTATTGGATATAGAGGAACAGAATGGGCAGTTAATTTTGCTGCTTTAAATGGTCATCTTGAAGTAATAAAATATTTACATTCATTAGGATATAGAGGTTTAATAAATGCAATTAATTGTGCTGCAGAAAATGATCACCTTGAAGTACTAAAATATTTACATTCTATAGGATATAAATAAGAAGCAAGAAAAAAAATTGAAAACAATTTTCTTTACATAAATTAAAAAAATGGATTGTACAAGTAAAGATATTAAATTAGGAAGTTATAAAAGAAGATTAAGTTTAGCTCGTTATTTACAAAATAAATTTAAATTACAATATGAAAAGTTAGAAAATGAAAGATTAGAAGAAGAAAAGTTAAAAACACCAGATAATATTTATTATTAAGAAAAAGTCACGTGATGTCACAGCAAGAAAATCACGTGACCTGTGACGTCATTTTTTCGACAAGAAATAAAATATTAATACTTATTTAAAAAAATTCAATTTTTTCAAATTTATATAAATTTGAAAATTTATTTCTTATATAAATAATTATTCACATCATGGTTAGAAATGAACCCTATATTTTTTAAAATATATGGTTGAAAATATGGTTGAAAATGAAAATATTCTATTAACTCTCCTTTCTATACTACTTATATATATATATTCCGTTAATATATATATATATATATATATATATATATATATATATATATATATATATATATATATATATATATATATATATATATATATATATATATATATATATATATATATATATATATATATATATATATATATATATATATATATATTTATATATATATATATATATATATAAACGTCCGTCGTTATTGCTCCAACGGAAAATATGTTAGTGCAATAATGCGTTATATACTATGTTACCTAATTCGTTATATACAAGTGATTTATTATTAGGGTGTATAGGTGCATCATCAGCTACATCGAAAACTTGAATTTTTAGCTTTAATTAGATCAAGAATGCTGTTCGTTGTGATTTCATTTAGTTTAAGAGATTAGTAGGGTATTCCCGACGGGCATTTGTTTTTAAAAGTTACGTTCTAAATGTGTTTTAAATGTCTTTTAAATGTCTTTTAAACATTAATGTTTAAAAGACGTTTAAAAGACATTTAAAATACATTTAGATCATAACTTTTAAAAACAAATGCCCGTCGGGTTGTGTCAGGACTCGGCGAGGGTGTCAACAAAATTATTTGAATGGGTATTTGTGTTGCTGACATTTGGGATACCGTTCGAATCCTAGTGAATCCAAGGCAAATTCACAAAATCCACTGTACTAAAAAGATAAAAGTTTATTTGCTTTAGTGATACACCCTTCAAATATACACTATACACCCTTCAAATATACACTATATACCCTTCAAATATACACTATACACCCTTCAAATTTCTTGAGTGAATATAGCATGTGTGTTGTATCTAGTGCTTATCTGATGTCGATAAATTAGGTTTTGACAATTAAAATTTTATCTAAAAAAAAAGCTAAAAATACACTAGTTTTAAGTCCTATTTAATTATACGCATATAAACAAATACTATTATATATAAATAGAAAAGAATTTAAATAATTGGTGACATGAATTTAAACGAATTCAAATATCACTTAAATTGCAAAACTTATGGATTTTATAATGGTTTATTTAAAAAGGGTGTAATTCCGTTAAACAATATTAATTACAAAACTCATTAGTTTTGCAATTTACGTGATTATTACCTTATTTACGTGATTTATCTTTAAGTTCAGCTTCCTACATAGATAATATTATGACAACAAGCACTTTTAATGAATCCCTCAAAAATAGTTTAATTAAAAGTAATGCCTCAGAATATTTTCTTATTTTTTTTTTAATATTGACATTGAATTAGTACCGATGCAAAAACAAGTTGTTTTTTTTCTCTTAAAAAAACACGTTCTTTAAAACATTCTTTGAAGTTTATGACACGAATTCATGGTAACTTTAGATTCAACATTACCAAAAAAAAAAGTCATTCAGAAAATTTTCCAAAGTTAAACAAAAATTGTATATTAAGTATTTAAATTCAAAGAAAGATAAAAGTCGATTAAACAGATAAAAGTCGATTTATAAAAATTACATTTAACATATTAAAGTAAAAAAAAATACAACTCAAAATTACCTGAGAAATTTAATCATAATGCAAAATGGCAAATTTTAAATAAAATTATTGGCAATCATAAGTTAGGACTAACTTACTAAAAGTTATTAAAACTAATTATCATATTTTTATATAATCCCAGTACACACAAAGACATTTAAAAGACGTCTAAGAGATGTCTTTTAAGAAGTCTAAAATGCGTTTTCGTAGACGTTTAGATCATAAAGACGTCTTTAAAAAGATGTCTTTCAAACATATTCGAATATCATCTTTTAGACATCCGTGTAAAGACGTTTTTTAATATCAGATTAAATTTGGGATTAATATCAGATTTAAACTTGTGATTTTCTTCGTGATGGCCACTGGGTAGAAATCTTTCGTCTCCCTGTTGACAAATGTGCTTCTTACATAACTTCGTGAATTCAGGCTGGCATGAAATCCTTTATTCCCTCTCGACGATTCTAGGTCAAGCCTCACTCTTCTCCATGGTTTTCCTCACATTGTGCTGCTGCAATTGCCAATCGAAACCATTTCTTCCGTATCTATCAGCAAAACAATTCTCCAGAAAACAGACGTCTGTTTATTACTGCTAGGAACCATTGTAAAAAGGTTTTGTCTAACGCCAAAGCCCGCTATTCTCAGATCATGAAATCTCGTATTTCATCACAAAAATTAGGCTCTCGTCACTTCTGGAGAAACTTTAATAGTATCAATAATAAAGGCAAGTCAGTAATTCCACCTCTTTTGTATGGTTCAGACTTTGTCACCTCACCTAAAAACAAAGCTGAATTGTTTGCCAAGAACTTTTCATCAATATCATCTCTTGATGCCACTAGTTGCGTTCTACCTGATATAGCCGTCAAACAGGTTGATCCATTGCTCGACATTCGTATCACTCCAGCTTCTGTATCTAAAGTGATTTCCCGCTTAAACTCTTCTACAGCTTGCGGCCCGGACAACATACCTGTTATAGTCTTGCAGAAGTGTTCTCCGGAGCTGTCATCTATCCTTTCAAAACTATTTAATAAATGCTGTTTTCCAGCCTGCTGGAAAGCAGCATCTGTTATCCCTATTTTTAAAAATTCTGGAGAGCAATCTGATTTATCTAACTACCGTCCCATTAGTCTTCTTCCTATCATAAGCAAGGTTTTTGAATCTTTAATTAACAAACACTTAATCTCTAATCTCGAATCTCATAACCTACTTTCTGATCATCAACATGGATTTCGATCTTCTCGTTCTACTGCTGATTTGCTACCAGTAATAACCGATAGGTTATTACTGGTAGCAAATCAGCAGTAGAACGAGAAGATCGAAACGAGGTTAAGGCCATTAACCTCGTTTACATTAACCAACGAGAAGATCGAACGAGGTTAAGGCCATTGCTCTTGACATTTCTAAAGCGTTTGATAAAGTTTGGTATGCTGGTCTCCTCCATAAGCTTTCTTCTTACGGTGTATCTGGAAGCATCTTTAAGATTATTGAATCCTTTCTTTCCAATCGTAGTATAAAAGTTGTCCTTGATGGACAGCACTCTTCTTCTTATTCTGTAACCTCAGGGGTTCCTCAAGGTTCAATCCTTGGCCCTATACTCTTTTTAATTTACATTAACGATCTTCCAGATATTCTCACATCTAAGGTGGCACTGTTCGCTGATGATACTACCATTTATTATTGTCACAATAAGAAGCCAACTTCCTCTGATTGCTTGCAGGGGGCATCTGAGCTTGAAAAGGATCTTACTTCTGCTACAGTATGAAGCTCACAGTGGCTGGTGAACTTTAATTCAGATAAAACTCAATTTTTTTCAGTCAATCGTTATCGCAATAATTTAGATCTTCCTATATTTATAAACAGTAATGTACTTGATGAGTCATCTACCCTTCATCTTCTAGGATTAACACTTACTTCTGATCTTTCTTGGAAACCATATATTAAATCCGTTGCAAATTTAGCATCTACTAAAGTTGCATCTTTTTATCGAGCTTGACACTTTCTTACTCTGGATTCTATTCTCTATCACTATAAATTTCAAATCCGGTCTTGTATGGAATACTGTTGCCATATCTGGGGCGGATCTTCTAATGATGCCCTTTCTTTTTTAGACAAGGTGCAAAAACGCATTGTAAACATAGTTGGACCTGCTCTTGCAGCCAACCTTCAACCTCTGTCACATCGTCGTAATGTTGCTTCTCTTTCTCTTTTCTACAAATACTATAATGAGCACTGCTCTAAAGAACTAGCGTCTCTTGTGCCATCAACTAAAATTCATTCTTGTGTTACTCGTCATTCAATTAAGTCTCATCCTTTTTCTGTTACTGTTCCTAAGTGGTCCAAAAACTCTTATTCGTCTAGTTTTTTTCCTCGAACATCATTCAACATTTCCTTGAACATCATTCATCATACAACCCAACATTCTTTGGAATTCGCTTCCTTCATCTTGCTTTCCTGATTCATATAACTTGCAATCTTTTAAGTCGTCTGTCAATCGTTATCTTGCTCTACAATCTTCATCTTTTCTCTTTCAGTAACTTCCAACACTAATTAGTGGTTGCTTGCAGCCTTGTTGGAAGCGAAGATATTTAAAAAAAAAAAAAAACGGTGTTGTTTTTAAAATTAGACCAATATCATTTTTCCTCATTTTTAAATATAGGTAAAAAATATATGTAAAAACATATATATAAAAAAGTTAAATAAGTAATCAAAAAATCTAAAAGTATAAAGAATAATAAAAATACCATTAAACTAAAATTAGCAATAGTATTGTAATCTATTACGTTAGCCACCTAGTTGCCTTAATGACGCCCATATCACTTTAATATAAGAATGAAAACGTAAAAAATAAAAACAAAATTTATATAAAAAAGCAGTCGTGGCGCAGTGGCAGCACAATTGCCTCAGAAACAAAGGATCTGTGGTTCAAACCCCACCTTTGGGTAAGTTTTAAATTAAATGCTCATCCGCGCTGCTCTGTGATAAGACCGTAAGGACTTTTTGGGGCACCTAAATAAAAAAAAGTTAAAAAAAAATATTCCGATTTACAAAGATGCCATATACACTCGTGAAATTCAGAAATAATTTAAAAAAGGAAAAAACGATTAAGAAATGAGTTAACTCATTTTTAACTCAACTTTAAAGACTGTTTTGTAAGAATGAAAAAGTAAAAACAGTTAAATAAAAAATAATAATAATACTAATAAAAACTGAAAACCATATTAAAAAATTAAAACCATATTTAAATGGGTATTTTTTAAGTGGACTAGCATAAAAGTCTCATTTACATCAGTTTCACTTTCAGACTATGCAAGTGGAACATCTTTACATTTTGCCAAAAAATCCTCAAAAAAAAAATTTTTAACAAGATAAAAAGTAATTTTTTTTCCCTTTAAGTCTGTTTTTTCCCATCAACATGAAAAAAATTTTAAAGTACATTAATTACTGCTCGGCGTACTAAAGTTACAACTATATGGCCAACGATTGAAGATGATACTTATATCTAATGGGTAAATCCCATATTTCTTTCAAAACCACTAAGCTTCTAAGTTGTTGATTACCTTTTATTTGACAAATATAATAATTATAAGTAAATAAAGAAAAAAGAAGATTTATTTTTTCTAATGGTCTGTGCATTATTTAAACAAGAGGTTTTCAATTGATCAAGTATTTTCTTACAATATATTTTAAGAGATCAATCAAATGCAACATCAAGTGATTGCAAAAAAAAATGGGTAGAGTTACCAGTTATAGAACAAGATACTGTTTTCTTCTCAACAGGGTACTATTTTTTTTAGTAAATTCAAGTACTTTTTCACTGTAAAAATTACTTTGATTATAACTAATAGGAATGTTCCTACAATTTGACAAATAACAATAACAAACCAGTCAAAAAAGTGAATAGAATCAAACCATCCTGACTTTGATTGTATGTTTGATTGTACATCATTAGGTGGTCCACTTCGGTTCTTGTTGTGCATAAATGCTCAGCTTTGTAAACATAACCAGAGAAAACTTGACCAGAAGCACTAAACATGATTGATGTTTGATGTTACAACTAAACACGATTGACGTTAACATAATATGTTGCATATTTGTAAAAACTTTGGACTTTTTATGGTTTTTGGATTAAGTTTTTAAACTTTTTTATACAAAGTGGCAACTTGCACCCAATGAACATCTATTAATGTTTTTATCTAATAATGTTTATTGTTATCATAAAATTGGCACTCAGTATAATTTATATACTGCATTGTATCATTTTTTTTTTCATATAAAAGTGGAATAGTACTATGAAACGCTAAACAAAAACAAATTTAAAGTGGGATAGTACTACGAAACGCAAAACAAAAACAAATTTAAAGATGAATAACAGTATTTTCAACAAATATTATTCAACACAATATTGAATGTACACACAAATATTTTTTATACAAGATTTAAAGTTTATTAGTGTTCACAGACACACACAAACATATATATATATATATATATATATATATATATATATATATATATATATATATATATATATATATATATATATATATATATATATATATTTCCTTCACTGATCTGAACTAAAATACCGGATAGGATCACAAATCCTGCATATTTATTTGAACTCCTAGAAGTCCGAACTTCAAAACAAAATACAAGATCATTAGACAGTTGCCAACTTACACGTCGTCAACAAAAAACCTCCTTAGGCTCAAAATCTTTTTGTATGGCTTCACCTTGAATTTGGAATGGTTTATCTTTGAACACGCGAAACTCAACTTCTATAGAAACATTCAAAAAAAGACTAAGATATGAACTTTTTATGAACTCTTTTTCAGACTCATAGTTTACTTGTTTAGTGCTTCTGAATTACTTCATCACTATTGTGATTGTTGTAAATAATGGCACTTTAATCTCTAAATATTATTATTATTATTATTATTATTATTATTATATATATATATATATATATATATATATATATATATATATATATATATATATATATATATGTATATATATATAATATATATATATATGTATACATACATACATACATATACAAACATTCACACACACATATACATAAATATATATATAAATGCAATGTATACACACACATATACACATAAAGACAAACACACACACACAAACTATGCGTGTATGCGTGACTTACTGTTTATACACATGATATTTTAATTCTTAATCACAATAATATTATGTACAATACTTAATATATTATATATAATCCATGAATGACAAAGGAAATTTTAAAATTGTTACATGTTTCTGACTACTTATGTAGTGGAGTTACTTTGAACGTTATTCAAAGTTACCACGTAGGCGAAAAAATGTATACAACAAAGTGTGTTATGCTATAGCAATGGAACATAACTATAGAAGGCAAACAAACTTCTTTAGATTTTACATGCTTAATAAATTTATAAATAAAAATTATGCAACTTAGACAACAAGCTTCTACACTAGCTGAGGCAGTATACAAAGTATTCTGACTAATTTTTTTGAGAAAATTATTCGAATTGTTTAATTCATTTTTTGGGGAACAAAAACAACCAATAAACAAATTAAAACTTTAAATAATCAAAATATAAACTATTTTTAACACTTTGATCTTTGAGATTCAAACAGTTTCATATAAACTCTTGCCATAATTACAACTTGGAAAAAAAAAGGATTTGTATTGAAAGTTACCCTGCTATTCAAAGTAACCTTGGTTTTCGGTACCTTACCCTTATTTATAATGTACCTTACGGGTGACCCGTTTCCGTATTTTTTTTAATATTAAGTAAAACTTTTTATGTGAGATGCATAATGATAAAAAATAATTATTGTAAAATTTTGAGAAAATCAAACATTATTTAGGGGTAGCACAAAAAACGAAAACTACAATTTAAGCAAATTGTAGTTTTCGTGCCTATTTTTCAATATTTTTCCAGATTTCACTGTCAGTTTTTCAAAATTCATTCAAGAACTTTTAGAATGTTACTTTTCATTAAGTAAAGTATAACAGGTAAAAAAACTGGGCTGAATGAAAAATTTTTAAGAGTTGCACATGACATAATATGTTACTAATGTACAAAATTGCGAAAAACAATGGTAAAAAAAATTATACGTTATTTAAGTTCTCCTTTTTTCCGAATAGGGACACCCGTTTGTGACAATTCTCATTAGTCTTGGATTAGTTTTTAAAGTCTTAGATTAGTTTTTAAAGTCTTGGATTAGTTTTTAAAGTCTTGAATTAGTTTTTAAAGTCTTGGATTAGTTTTTAAAGTCTTGGATTATTTAGCTCAATTTGTGAAACTATTGGTTTTCCAATCTTGATTTGTTCGTTTCTTTTGATGTTAAACATTTTGAAATAGCGAACTGTAAAAGGGGAGCCCCAACAGAATTAACTATTTTTGCTTCTATATCGACATTGTGCCTCTAACGCTCAGGCGTTAACGATCGGAAACTTCAGTAAACGATTTAGTTAGCGTCTTTGGATTCAACTGAGAAAAACTCGTCATCTTCTAAGCTTTTTGTGTTTTCATCATCCTTGCCAAGAATTTTTTCAACTTCTTCACCCGCAATAATATCTCATCTTCTTTTAGATAAATTATCATGCACTGCTCTCTGCTGTTCCAGACGTTCAGTACAATCATATACTTTTTTTTCTCTTTGATATAAAATAGTATCTCAAGCAAGCATGTGGCCAACCTTAAAAAAAAACATATCAAAAATTGTACACATTGTACACCTCGAACAAAGTAAAATTACTAAATAAGTAATTTTGTGTACCTGTGGATATTTCTGCTGATTTTATAAAAACAGCCATTCCTATTTCCAAGTTGAAATTCGAGATCTCCTTAATATGTCGTAGACTTTAGATGCTGGAATATCACACAACTGATTTATTGATATCCTGAAATTATTTACTTGTCTTCTCTGAGCATCATTTTTCTATTTTCTTTATACTTTTCCATTCAACAAACACTTTTAAGAAAAAATTTTACAATAATTATTTTTTAATCATTATGCATCTTACATAAAAAAAACTCAAAATTAAAAAAAATGCGGAAACGGGACACCCTAACCTTACGCTATTTTTAAAGCTAAACTTAAAAGTTTTATTTTTTTTAATATTACTATCAAGTGAACACCGGACCTAAAAAGACGTCTTTTGAACGTTTAAAAAACGTCTAAAACGTGTATAAGACGTTTAAAAAACGTCTTTTTTGCGTCCGCGTCCACTGGGTAATAGTAACATTTTGAAAATGTTAACTTTCAATTATTACTGAGAACTTATTTTACTGTTTACTTTAGTTAATCTGTTTATATTATTAGTCTATATACTTTACAAAGTTTTTTATTTATTATTTTTTTCCTGGTTTATTTTGGTGTTTTCTTTTCTACAAGAGAAATCTGATAGCAAATACAAGTTTTGTACTCTGCTAATAGATGTTATAGTAATAAAATCAAGTTTGTTTTATAAAACCACGGGACAATATATTGTATTTGTATATTGTAGTTTGTGATCCGAAAACCATAACTATAGAAGCTTTTGTTTTTATACTTGTTGGACTTAGGGGGTATTGAAAGATACCAATTTGTTATATTAGATATATGTTTCTCTAGTAACATGTTCATAGCGCTGCTTTCGATAGTGCTAACTCTAATTTAAATTCTGTTTTACAGAAAAGAGCGCAGTTTAGTAAAGAACCAAAAGATATCAGGCCAAATTTTTTATATGGTGACTTTGATCATCCAATATATGTTATTTCAGACCCTTGTCAACAGACTCTTGTCACTTGCTAAAATTGGCTAGAAATGCTTTAAATGATAATGAGATATTTGTAGAAAGAGATAAAAGTGATATAAAATATCATGTTAAGCTTCCTTTAGAATTAAGAGGATTAAAATTCGCTGACAAACTTCAAAAAAAAAAATATTTCAAATGTATATTATGAATATAAAACATGCTGCCACAAAAAGACGAAAATGAAAGCAGAATTTTTACTTGCATCTTGTTGTCATTTGTTTTTGCTTTCAGAAGCAACTAATCAGATTATACGTTTCATAGATTGTTGAACTCAAATAATCCTTTTGGAAAATCATTCAAAAAACCTGGATTTTTTTCTAGTCAAACAAACTGGTAAATTACTTTATGATAGTTATGATAGTAAAAAAAACTAGTTCAGCAGGTATATATATATATATATATATATATATATATATATATATATATATATATATATATATATATATATATATATATATATATATATATATATATATATATATATATATATACATACATGTATATATATATATATATATATATATATATATATATATATATATATTATATATATACATATCCAGGGCCGGCGCGAGTAGGTGTCACGTGGGGGGAGGGGGTGCCATTACAACTTTGCCGACTAAAAAAAAAAAAAAAAAGTCCTCGTTTTCCAAAATTTGCCGACTGTCATGACGACATTTACTGACTGTCTAAGCTATTGTCTAAACCCGAAAGGGTCGACATTTGCCGACTAACTAGTCTAAAACGGTCCAATTTGCCGACTAAGGGTCCAGTTTGCCGACTAAAAATCATTGATGGGGGGGGGGGGGATACACCCCCCACACACCCCTATCGCATTTAGTGCATTTAGGAGTTTGAACAAAGGTTCAGCATGAGTGAGTTTATCTTTTTTATAGACAATTCTAATAGCATGTTTTTGATGTTGATAAAGTGATTTTAAATTAGATTTATGGGTACTGGGCCATGCTATATTACCATATGTATAATAGGTATGTATAAATGAAAAATAAAGATATTTTAGATTGGGATAACATTGGTCTAGCTTTGTATAGCACGCCAATGTTTTTGCTTATTTTAATATTTAAATAGTCAATATGGGCTTTCCATGAAATATTTTGATCAATAAGTAAACCCAGGGATTTAGTTGTTGTGGTTCTTTCGATATTTTTGTTTTTTATTCTTAGCAATGGCAATATATTTGGTAGTTTTTTTCTTTTTTGATTTGGATGGAATAAGATGTAATTAGTTTTTTCTGTGTTTAAAGTTTATTAGATTTTAGCCAAATATTAAGTTTTTCGAGTTCAATATTCGTTGTTTCAAAAAGTTCTGTAATTGACGGGGATGAATAAAATAAATTAGTGTCATCTGCAAACATATGACATCAAGTTTGTTTGAGGCTTTCGGAAGATCATTAATGTATATTAAAAACAGTAAAGGAGCTAGAATGGAACCTTGGGGAACGCCACATTTGATCTTTAGCATTTTTGAACAGATATTTCCATCAGTATTTACACATTGTTGTCTGTTTAGCAAAAAGTTTTTAAACCAGAGTAATGCAACATTTTTTACGCCATATTTTTCTTTTTTTTTATATATATCTCCAGTTTTATATATAGGTATAATTTTTGCAATTTTTAATTTCTCTGGAACGAGAAATTAAAAATTTCCTGTTATAATTGAAGATTTAAATATTTCGAAGAAGGATTTTTTTATTATTGGTAAGATATTTATTACTACATTGCTACAAATTTCATCAATTCCTGGTGCTTTGTTAATTTTTAAAAAGTTTTTTGCATTTTCAAGTTCTTCATAGCTTAATCCATTGAAAATTAGTTCGCTATTTAGATCTATAAGGTAATTTTCAAAGGAGTCATTTTGTAGTTAAAATTTTAGACGCCATGTTTGGGCCTATGTTTGCAAAGAAATTGTTGAAGTGTTCGGCAATTGAGTTCTTATCATCGTGTTCGGTTTCATTTATAATGATTCTATCTGGTAAACTATTTGTTTTTTTTCCCGATTATTTCTTTCATAAGGTTCCATGTTTTTTTCATGTCTCCATTTGTTTTTTTGAGTAATTTAGAGTAGTAAATTTTTTTAGAATGTTTTTTGATTTTTTCGAAAAGATTTTTGTATTGTTTATAAGTAGATAGGTTAATCTCATTTCTGTTTTTCAAATATTTAACGTATAGCTTTTGTTTTGTTTTTAAAGATTTTTTAATACCGCAGGTGATCCATGGACAGCTCAAATATTTTGCTTTGATTTCTTTTTCTTTGATTGGAAAATGATTATTATAGTGCTTTAGAAAAATATCTGTAAAAGTATTATATGCAGAGTTTGTGTTCCCAAGGTTACATCCTTGATACACTTTAACCCAATCTACTGCCGATGGCGTGTCTTTAAAATTTTGAATTGAAATTTTTTTTTTTTTTTTTTATATAAGTTATTTTTTTCAAATTATTATTTACTCTTGTATCATTTTTTATTGTAAAGTAAATTGGAAAATGATCTGTTATATCAATTTTTACTATTCCTGCTTTTAAGAAGGTATCTAGAAATGAGTTTGTTAGTATGTTATCTATGGCAGAAATAAAATTAAAGGTTACCCGTGTGGGTTTATTAATAATTGGTAAAATACAATGTTGAAACATGTTATCAAAAAATAATTTAGTAATCGGAAACTCATTGTATTTCAAACGATCTATGTTGAGGTCCCAAGTACAGAATAACTTTTTTTGTTCTTTATTGATTTTGAGAAAAATTTCTTCTAGATAATTAGAAAAAATTTTTAATGTTACCTTCAGGTGGTCTATAACAGGTAGAAACAATAATATTTTTAAGCTTGGAGTTTATGATTTCTATTGTAAAGACCTCACTATCGGCATTAGAAATGGAGTGGTCTTTTCTTACTTTTATTGCTTGATCATTCCGAACATAAGTTGCAATCCCTCCTCCTTTTTTGCATGTTTTTCTTAAAGAAGATATTAATTTATAATTGGAAATTTGAAAGTTAGTGTTATTTTGGATTGATTTTTCAGAACACCAAGTTTCTGTTAGACAAATGATACTGAATAAGTAATTACAATCAATTAGGAAGTGCTTATGTTTGTCAAAATTTTTATTTATGCTAGTTATATTTATGTAAATTACTGTAAAATAATTTTTAATAGTTTCAAGTTCAATTTTAAAAGTTTCAGTTTTAACATATCGAGAATCAAAATTATTCATTTGAAAAATATGCGTATCAGCGTCAATGAGTATATTATTAGCAGTTTCGAAAACATTTAAGCGCATTTATTCAAAATCTATTGTTTTGTTGATCATTGTTTTAAAATTGAAAATTGAAGACGCGTTTACTTAGTTAAGAAAAAGTGTAGCGCTATTTTTTAAAACCTCGTGTAAATATTTTATCATATTTTAAAATGGCGTATTTACCTTCGCTTCTTAGTTTTTTGACTTCTTCCCATAACTTTCTTCGATGATATATTGTTTCTTGAGCGAAGTCTTCATTTATGTATATTCCAGTTCCTTTAAGTTGTTTTACTGCTTTGAGAATTTTGTTTTTGTCTTGGTAGTTCAAGAGGTTTAAGACTAATGTTCTTGGTTTGTTTTCTTTAAATTGTCCGATTCGATGAGCTCGTTCGACCACCACTTCACTAGGTATTTTCAATAGTGTTTTGAAAATGTCTTTAACAGCTTTTTCGCAATCTTCCCAATTTTCGCCTGGTGTTTCTTGTAGCCCATCAATTCTTAAGTTGTTCCTTCTTATTTCCTTTTTATTTTCAGAATGTTGTGTCAATCTATTCTAATATTGTAAGGGTAATTACATAGCATGTAGCACTTTTTCATATATTGAAAGATATTTAAGAAGTACGATATTAGTGAAATAAAAGTTTTGTTAACCCCTAATATTGCGGGAGGTTTAAATTTTTTATGGTCATAGTTTTTGAACGCTGAAATATTATAACAAATCTAGTTCAGAATAGTACAAAAAATATTTTATCAACTTGTTGCTCTCATGGGCAGTAGGGGGTGGGGGTAAAAATCTTGAGGCTTGTTTGTTCCCAAGCCCTAATCATTGCAATGTTTATGCAAAGCATCCTTATTTGATATATTTATAAACATATAAGTGTTTGGAGTTTACTCCATTTCTGAAAGTTTGCTGTCTC